GAGGGCGGAAATCCAAAAAAGTTGGGACGACCGGGTGAGGAAAAGTCATCCATCTCATCATTCCAAAGTATTCCTGTCGAAGGTGAAGTCACTGCTGCACCAAGGCTGGAAGTTATAATCGCTGCAATTGTTGATTACATCGAGCAATCTTTTTTGAATGTTCCGAAAGACCTATTTAGAATGTAAACCATTCTAAAAAATCATACATACATATTTAGCATTAAGTGAGAAAAGTTGCGGCTTTTTTGCATGTTAATTGGGTGATTACGTGAAGGAAAAGACAAATGGTAAGGAATGAGTGAAGCATGCAATGATTAATGAATGAGTGAGCAAAGGCGATACAAGGCTGAATGACTAAATGAACAATTCAACGAGTGCATAAATGATAGAGTTAAGGAAGACGACAAATTAATGGATGGATGACTGAATGAATGCAATGAAGGGATAAGTGAGTAAAATAATTGATTGAATGATTAAATAGATAGATAATTAGATGCATTAAAGAGGGAGTCACGCGGTGATTCCTTGGTACTGTGTTAATTGAAACTTACTAAAGATTTATAGTTGAAGTGACCGCCACGGCATTTCCCTGGCTATCAATCACGGAGATGTGAGTCGTGCCATGATCTTGAGGGGGTGTCAGAAAAGAACCACCATAGTAATCATCCGAATGTGCTTCTTCAGTTATCAAAGACCTGAAACACTGTCTCTCTTCTGGTTTGGTAAAAGTTTAGTCCTTCAGTTGCACGTGCCTCACCCATTCCGCCCATTTCTTGCTCGTTATGTTGCGCGCCGTGTCAGTTGCATTGTGAACAAACGCTGGGTCCCCGAGCCAACTACGAGCAGCATATCTGAGTTTCATAACTATTTCTATCAGAACACGTTTGTGAGTAGAGTAACTCACGCGAACTTTGAGGATTCAATGAAATGATGGTAAAGAAGACTGATGTCATCAGCCTTCTTCATGTTGTATTTGTAGCTAAAACAAAATTTCATTACTTTCAAAAATTTACAAATACTTTGTGGGACCATTTCCTCTCACAATGTGGTGTTAATAATTCTGTGAAAAATGTTCAGAAAATAACTATCTTTTCATATATGATATTGTGCTCCTCAACATAACTTCTTCATTTTAGATACCCTAGCTTACGTTCAAAGCTGACTATAGTATTCTTGTTGTCAGCATTCGATATGACGCGTCGCAAGATTGAACAGTGAAAAGAGATGTGAAGAAGGAATGACGTCAAGGAAAGTAAAATTCTTTAGAGCATTATCAGCTGTGCTATCGAAGCATCACTACAAACACTATTGCTCGCAAACTCTGTCATATCCAACGTGAGATCAGGTTTCAATAAAATGAAACAGCAAGAAAGAGGTTTTCTTCAAACCACTTCACCCTTCTTTTCCCTTTCCTCTCCCCTATCCCACGGTTTTCATTGCTAGTCGAACTTTGGGTTCCTCTTCTCCTTGTGATTTTTCGCTAAAACGTGATTTGCAGCTTTGAAAGTTTAGCACTTAGGGCATTCACCGACGTGACCATAAAACATTTGTCCAGATGAGTACAACTACTCACCCATCCATAACACTCAAGATGGCCTGTGTTACTGCAGAAGCAGAAGGAGGTGGAGGACCGCAGATTACTCGGCCGTTTCTGAGATTGGTGTAGATGACATCGGATGAAGGAACTACCAATGATTGATAGGAGGCAAAATCCTCTTTTGTCAAAATACCCCCTGCAAACATTGAATAATGATCCAAAGTCTCGAAAAAGTTAAATTTGATACCGTAACGCTGGAACTCCGAAGCCATTTCTTGAGCCATAGCACCTTTGTAAAACTCTTGTAAAGGATCTGTAGTGTTGGCTAACCGTCGAAGTGTATTCATTAATTTTGTTCTCAAATGACCAACTTCATTATTTCAAACGACAGTAGTTCTTATTCTGGCTGCCCCTAAACTGTACAAATTATACCTCGTTGTGATCTGCTCACCAGCACGATATACTTGACCGGTTTTGGGATTTATGAACGCTTTCATGGTGCTCTCGCTCGCTATGTACTCCGCTCTTGTAGCCAAAGCTTTTGCCAAAGCATGAGAAGTTGGAAATCCTAAAAGCCTCAGTTTTGTCTGAATTATGGTGTGTAAAACGAAGGAGATTATAAAATGACCTTCTTCAAGTAGCTCAATTGTTGGTTTTATCAAATTCTTCCAAGTTATTTTTCCGCTTCCAAACTTCTCAAATTCTGTCCACATTCCGTGGAGTTCGCCGGGGACCGCTATTGCTCGCCAGCCTACAATGGAGCTCATTTACTCTTGTCTTCACCAAAATTGGAGAAAACTCGCCAATAACACTCTCGTTCCATTTGCCTTTGTACATATCTTCGGTGGCAGCCTTCGGTGCCACCTCACGAGCATCGATTACAGTGCACTTTTGCGTAGTTCTGAAACAACAGGGAAGATCAGAGCAAGTGCTTATTTGGGAATTGGTGGGCGTGCGCTGATGCGGTAGATACATGGAGTAACGTTTGTAAGACAAAACGAATTATTCCTTTTCCCTAAGAATAATAACGACGAGACACTCAACGACACATAAAGGTGAATCGCGCAATTGTAGGATTACCCCAAAAGGTACAGTAAAAGCTAGGAATTATATGACTTGCTCTGTTCCAAAGTAGTGCTATGAAGTTTAAACACTTGGAAATCTCATTTAGTTCTCAATATATTTCGTTGAAAAAGCTCCGAGTAAAGGGCTGCACGCATCAAAGTACATGTAAAAAATTTTCAGTTGCTATTAACGATCGTTTTTCTGTGGGTGTTAAGCACATATCCTAAGCAGGTTAGTCAACGTGGAAGTAGATTATAATAGTTACAACTTACGCATTATAAATGGTCATGAAATGCCCGCCGCCTAGTCCTGCTGAATGTGTGTCCATCACCCCGATGCAGAAAAGAGCAGCAATGGCAGCGTCAACAGCATTGCCGCCATGAAGTAGCGCATTCCTTAAAGTGAAGAAAATTTCGCGTGCAGTTTCTCCAAAGGGGAAGTATTTAATAACTTACCGACCAATCTCTGAACAATACTCATTATCCGCTGCCACACCTGCTTTAGCGTACTTTCCAAGAGGACTTATGGATGGTTTCGGCCACCTTGGAAGACGAGCAGACTCCTGAATCAAGATGAAAGGGGCATGATTGATTCGATAATCGAATGTATGCTTTTACTCGGAGATAAAGACCAGCAAAGGCGACAGTAGTTATGAGTAAAGTGAACACCACTAGCAGCATTGCAGTGCCGCATATTGCCGACGCTGGAGGGGGTGGAGTCTCCTCCAGTGGCAGTAAAGGCAACTCTTCGTCCTGAGGACCATATTCAGGAGGCAGGTTGTCCGCCATCCTGAAGAGAAGTAACTTCCTAGAAGATAGACATTTGACAAACAACAGCAGGGAACGAGTCTTCTATTCACGATAGGTGTACAAAAGATCCAGAAATTCTATAATCTAGAACTAAATTCCAAGAAAATTTGAGGAATCTATTTGATTTTATAGAAGTTATATTCATAGGCAGTGGTAGTAAGGAGCCATAGAATAGCAACTCCTCAAGAGACCACTTAGATAAGAGTTCGCGGCCTACT